ATCACGTCTATTTCCTTGGATCAAGAGCCCCAAACTTACTCAAGGAACCTCCCTTGAAGGGTAGAAAAAATCTTTCTCTTGCGTAGTAGAACGACGTGGAATGACTTATAACGACGTAGAACACCGTAAACGAAGTAGAGAGACCCAAAACGACGTTCAACGACTTAGAACAACGTCGATGTACATTGTGCTTGAGTGGAACGACGTATTAAGGTATCCCTGTAACTCAGAAGTAGTGAAGCTCCCCGTAGCTCAGTGGTAGTGAAGCTCCCCGTAGCTCAGTGGTAGTGAGGCCCCCCGTAGCTCAGTGGTAGTGAGGCCCCCGTAGCTCAGTGGTAGTGAGGCCCCCGTAGCTCAGTGGTAGTGAAGCTCCCCGTAGCTCAGTGGTAGTGAGGCCCCCCGTAGCTCAGTGGTAGTGAGGCCCCCCGTAGCTCAGAGGTAGTGAAGCCCCCCGTAGCTCAGTGGTAGTGAAGCCCTCCGTAGCTCAGTGGTAGTGAGGCCCCCGTAGCTCAGTGGTAGTGAATCCCCCGTAGCTCAGTGGTAGTGAGGCTCCCCGTAGCTCAGTGGTAGTGAGGCCCTCTGTAGCTCAGTGGTAGTGAATCCCCCCGTAGCTCAGTGGTAGTGAGGTCCCCCGTAGCTCAGTGGTAGTGAAGCCCCCCGTAGCTCAGTGGTAGTGAGACCCCCTGTAGCTCAGTGGTAGTAAAGCACTCCCAGGATTCTCCCATTACCCAACAGTAAATAGGTAACTAGAATAGGTACCTAGGAGTTAACCCAATGTTGTGGGTTGCATAGCACCCTCAACTCACACACTGAGTGTCCGTGATTCAATCCCCAGCACGAATGGAAACGTTGGGTATGTTCCTTTACATCTGCTGTCCTTGTTCACCTAGCAGTAAGTAGGTACCTGGGTGTTAGCGCACTGGTGTGGGTGGCATCCTGGGGGAAATGATTGAAGGATCACAGTGGAAATAAGACAGACAATCCTAGATGGCACACTGACTTTCTTGGGTTATCCTGGGTGGCTTACCCTCCTTACCCTGGGTTATCCTGGGTGGCTTACCCTCCTTACCCTGGGTTATCCTGGGTGGCTTACCCTCCTTACCCTGGGTTATCCTGGGTGGCTTACCCTCCTTACCCTGGGTTATCCTGGGTGGCTAACCCTTCCTACCCTGGGTTATCCTGGGTGGCTAACACTTCCTACCCTGGGTTATCCTGGGTGGCTAACCTTCCTACCCTGGTTATCCTGGGTGGCTAACACTCCTACCCTGGGTTATCCTGGGTGGTTTAACACTCCTACCCTGGGTTATCCTGGGTGGCTAACACTTCCTACCCTGGGTTATCCTGGGTGGCTAACACTTCCTACCCTGGGTTATCCTGGGTGGCTAACACTTCCTACCCTGGGTTATCCTAGGTGGCTTACCCTCCTTACCCTGGGTTATCCTGGGTGGCTTACCCTCCTTACCCTGGGTTATCCTAGGTGGCTTACCCTCCTTACCCTGGGTTATCCTGGTGGCTTACCCTCCTTACCCTGGGTTATCCTGGGTGGCTAACACTTCCTACCCTGGGTTATCCTGGGTGGCTACACTCCTACCCTGGGTTATCCTGGGTGGCTAACACTTCCTACCCTGGGTTATCCTGGGTGGCTAACACTTCCTACCCTGGGTTATCCTGGGTGGCTAACACTTCCTACCCTGGGTTATCCTGGGTGGCTAACACTTCCTACCCTGGGTTATCCTGGGTGGCTAACACTTCCTACCCTGGGTTATCCTGGGTGGCTAACACTTCCTACCCTGGGTTATCCTGGGTGGCTAACACTTCCTACCCTGGGTTATCCTGGGTGGCTAACACTTCCTACCCTGGGTTATCCTGGGTTGGTCTAACACTTCCTACCCTGGGTTATCCTGGGTGGCTAACACTTCCTACCCTGGGTTATCCTGGGTGGCTAACAACCCAGGGTTTAAAATCCAAACATGTTATCTTACTCCCAACGGAAATAAGCCGAAGTATGTACTTGATTTTATTTTTTATTAACCCCAGAGGACTCTCTTCTACATCTTCTTCCTCCTCCTTCTCTTCTTCCTCCTCCTTCTCCTTCTTCCCCTTCTCCTCCTCCCCTTCTTCCTCCTCCTCCTCGTCCTCTTCGTCGTCGTCTTCCTCTTCAACGTAAAACTCATTTTCTTTTATATAATTTATTTGTGCGAGGGAGACTACACTAAATATTTTATGCTCGTGGGTACAAGCAAGCAATGATATATTTAAGCAACTAAGTAGGCAAATAAGTAAGTAAGGTCATTTATACACAAGTTTGCATCATTTCTGGATGATTATATATTGTCTTACATAGTAACTTACAAGTAAATTACCTAAGATAACCCCACAAAAAACCTCCGAGATCAAAATCCGTACAAATCTTATCTTAAAAAATCAAAGGACATGACTTATATCAGAGTATTAATCTTGAAGTGTCACGGACCAGCTGGAAATAGTCTGGATACTATGAATTATTCAAGTGGTGTTGCATAAAATGAACCTCAATCATCGTCCAGTAGATAGGTTTCACACATAAATACAATTATTTAAATTATCATACACAGCAGCATATGTGTGCATTACCTAAGATAACCCAGACAGTCAGATAAAGTAATTTATTTCCATTAGGGTCCTTGTGGTTTCCACTGGGTCCTTGTAGACCATGAGCATCTGACCATTGTTCAGTGTCCCTGGATGCCAGGGCACCTTTCTATCATGGATTATAGAACTAGTATAATAGTGCGTTCTTAGCTCTGGTGAATTATACATTACCTTTTTCAATTACTTTTGGTGTCCCGTAGCTCGATTGGTAGCACACTCAGCTCACACACTGAGGTCCGGGGGTTGATCCCCGGTACGGGTGAAAACATTAGGACGTGTTTCCTTAAGACATCTGCTGTCCCTGTTCACCTATCAGTAAAACACGTACCTGGGTGTCAGTTGACTGGTGTGGGTCGCATCCTGGGACAAAAATAACCTAAGTTTCCCGAAATGCTCTGCATAACCAGGGGCTTTCTATATAATATGTCACTGATGTCAGCATCTGCTAGAAAAATGACAGGATGATAATGAGAAACCTCAAAACTAGGAGGCCAAGCCCATGATGACACTTCTCAGGTCACTGTCTATCTAGGACTGAATAATGCATGCACACAAAAGCACCTTCAAGCAGTGAAATTTGACTTAGAATTGTACAGGAGAACTTTCACGCGGCATAACGAGATAAAACACCTCATTACGTGAGCGTCTTGGAGGTTCCTGAACCTGTATTCCTGTAACGCAGCGGGAGATACATATTTTACACCTTGGGAAAATCCTAGAGGACTAGTACCGAACTTGCACACGAAACACTCACTAACGAAAGCAAACAGTACTTGGCAAACATTTCAACATCCCCAATGGGAAAGCGGGGTGGGCACTACACTTAAGAGACATACAAAAAGTGTCAGGGGCCCGAGACTGTTACTGCCTCCAGCACACTATAGGGGGATTACCAATCAGACCCTGGCTGTCTCAAGCTAGCATGGACAATGCACCTAAGTCGGTTCCTACCAGCCGGGTCGTTGGCTCTACGTTGGTTTGCGTGCAGCCAAGCATAAACACCCTGGTTGATTCAGGCCTCTGAACCACCATGAGGCCTGGATCAACGAGACCGGGCCGCGGGGGTATGTTGACCCCCGGCACACTCTCTCCAGGTAACTCCAGGTATGGTCTGTATAAGTTGTATCATCTATTTGTAGAAATAAAGATTATGCACCCCATACCCCTTCTGTGTGTGGCAGTCAAAAGATTACAGAGATACATAATAGATAGGTAAACAAATTACAGTAGTAATGAACTATTTACATGTTTGTATCTGATTACAGTCTTAATGAGTTATTTATGAAGGCATAAATTAGGTTATGCGTTACTTACAGTTAGCAAAGTCAGGGTATTTTTCCAGAATGGTTTGTAATATACCACTGTGGATACAGTATTTTGACATTTCTTGAACATTTCTAAGTAAGTTGTAACTGAATTCATTAATTTTATCGCATTCCAGAACATTATAACACAAGATGTCACAACAGTCCATCTGGCAAAATTTATATTTCGTTTGGTTTACATCTGGTGGTGGTGATTAACTTGCCAGAGATACTGGTAACCCAGCCGGAGCTGGACTGTAGTGACATCCAAGAGTCTGCTTATTTTGTTGGATGCACCATAGACTTGTGGCTCCTCCTGCATAATAGATTGATGATAGATGGGCTGACTGGAGTCAGTTCTCTTTCAGTCTCAAGTCAAGGAAGTTCGGTTGCAGTTCTTTTCGTATTATTGTCTCAAACTGCTAACTGACAGCCCAAGATTATAATCTACTCCCTCTGAAGTTAGTTTATTATACACCCCACTCTGAAGGCATATGCCATATGAGTTTGTCAATTCGTCAGTTCTAAGTAAGTTTATTCAGGTATCTGTAAACCAGTGTGAGATGGAATCTGGAGAAGGTACATTTTGACTCCCCTGTCCACAATCCTACCATACCTGTGTCATTTCTGGACGTCTTGTACAGACACGATGATGTAACACCTGGGAGATACCCAGGTGTTGCACATGTGTCTTGTTCATCACCTTGTTGGTAATTTATAACTTTCATCTAATGATGAAATAATATTAGTTAGACAGCTTATTATTATTTTTATAAGAAACAGAGCAAAAACCAGAGCAAAAACCGTATGCGCAATGCGCATATCAGCGCAACTGACGGAGCGTATGCTTAGCGCATTGGCACCTATGTAAGGCTGCAGATTAACTTTTAAGGTCGAAATATTGTCAAAATACACTGGCTTCGAAATACACACAGGACTCGAAACTGATCCATACGAGCCTTTCTCCAACAGTCAAGCTTAAAAAGCAATAAAAAACCTGAATTACTGAGAGTAAAGCATGGTGTGTAAGTTATATTGGCTAGGTGGGACCTCCACCATCTATTTACAGTTAGTTCATCATAGTGGCAGTGTCGGCACCACTGTGCTCTGCTGCGGCCCACAGTGGACTCTAACTTTATTTATCCTGTGTGGTGGATAGTCCTACTGATCTAAATGGATTATCAGGCGCCATCGTAGCAGGAGGCTACTTCGTGAGTAAGACTACGCAGGATGTTAACACTGGGATTGGCTGTACACATTGAATATAAACAGAAAACGAGGAGTTGAAGTTAGTGGCGTCTGACATCTGAGTGAGTTGCCGGCTTATGTTATGGTAATGTATTATTATACACTTGTGTCACTAACTAACACACGCAGTAAGTCCAGCCTTAGTAAGTTTATTCAGGTATACACAAATTCAGTTACACAGATTATCACACATAGCAGGATATGTGTAGAGAACCTGGGGTAACCCAAAAAAAAGTCAGAGTAACTTATTTCCATTTGGGTCCTTAATGTTTCTTGAGATACTTTGATGTCACCTGAACTGATATTTCTCTTAAATGTATTGCCTGACACCGTAAAGTGCCAGATCAACCAGCCTGTGGTGACTGTCACCCAGTGACTTTATTATACAAATTTTCAGTATACAAAATGTAGTTTGCATATAATAAAATATTGTTAAACACAAAAAGCCATCAGCATACGTTATGCACTTACGTGCCTGTTAGCATCTGTCCCGTCAAGACCAGTGGCTGTACAGACACTCAACCAGGAATATTGGTCCTAGACCAACTAGAAAAAATTCGAAATAGGTAACAGGTGTTTTCCGTAAAGTAGCTGTGGACGTGTATCAGATACTTGTAAATTTTTATTGACACGTTTTATCTTATCTTGTGATTGTGTGTGCCTGGCCGAGGCACTCACTCAGAAACGACTTGGTCAAAAAACAGGACAAGTAAAGGAGATGGTGTATTTCGTCCTCAGAGTCACTCTTCCTTAGGAAAGATGTGATACTGGTATCCACTGGCCTGACATGGCTTTTCTGTGGTTGTCGGAACACCGAGTGAACGGTTAATAAATAATAATAATAATATCTATTTCTTCAAGTACATGTACAAGGTATAGTTGACATCAATGACTTACTACTATATAGAAAGCCGCTTGTTATGCTGATCATTTCGGGCAAATAAGGTCAGTTTTCTCCCAGGATGCGACCCACACCAGTCGACTAACACCTAGGTTACCCATTTTACCGATGGGGAACATAGATAACTGGTGTAAGGAAAGACGCCCAATGTTTTAAGTCACCAGGTCACGGGTCACCACAGTTCACCACCGCCCATGTTCTAAAGATTGGCCCTATACCTGTAACTAAGTAAATAAGTTTATTCAGGTATACACAGATACATTGATTATAATCAATGTAATTATGCTATGTATGATAATTATCATACATAGCAACATATGTGTAGATAACCTAGGGTAACCCAAAAATGTCAGTGGCTTATTTCCATTGGCGTATACCTGGAGGGTGTGTCGGGGGTCAACGCCCCCGTGGCCTGGTCCATGACCAGGCCTCGAGATAAATACTTCTAGAAATACCCAGGTATGCTGTACCCGCTGAGGATAAATATTAAAATATAATCGTTCGTATTTCACTGTGTGTAGAGTTTTATCAAATCACTTTTCGTTGTCTGTACATAATCAGAATTTATAAATGTTGATCCCCAGGCCCTGATGAACTGTATGCAAGGGTTCTAAAGGAATGTAAAGAGGAGCTTAGCACACCTTTGGCTAATCTTTTCAACATATCACTACAAACTGGCATGGTGCCAGATAAGTGGAAAATGGCAAATGTGATACCTATTTTCAAAACAGGTGACAGGTCCTTAGCTTCGAACTATAGACCAATAAGCCTAACCTCCATAGTGGGAAAATTTATGGAATCAATAATTGCCGAGGCAGTTCGTAGCCATCTTGAAAAGCATAAATTAATCAACGAATCTCAGCATGGTTTTACAAAGGGGCGTTCCTGCCTTACGAATTTATTAACTTTTTTCACTAAGGTATTTGAGGAGGTAGATCATGGTAATGAATATGATATTGTGTATATGGACTTCAGTAAGGCTTTTGACAGGGTCCCACATCAGAGACTATTGAGGAAAATTAAAGCACATGGAATAGGAGGAGAAATTTTTTCCTGGATAGAGGCATGGTTGACAAATAGGCAGCAGAGAGTTTGCATAAATGGGGAGAAATCAGAGTGGGGAAGCGTCACGAGCGGTGTTCCACAGGGGTCAGTGTTGGGCCCCCTGCTGTTCACAATCTACATAAACGACATAGATGAGGGCATAAAGAGCGACATCGGCAAGTTTGCCGATGACACCAAAATAGGCCGTCGAATTCATTCTGACGAGGACATTCGAGCACTCCAGGAAGATTTGAATAGACTGATGCAGTGGTCGGAGAAGTGGCAGATGCAGTTTAATATAGACAAATGCAAAGTTCTAAATGTTGGACAGGACAATAACCATGCCACATATAAACTAAATAATGTAGATCTTAATATTACGGATTGCGAAAAAGATTTAGGAGTTCTGGTTAGCAGTAATCTGAAACCAAGACAACAGTGCATAAGTGTTCGCAATAAAGCTAATAGAATCCTTGGCTTCATATCAAGAAGCATAAATAATAGGAGTCCTCAGGTTGTTCTTCAACTCTATACATCCTTGGTTAGGCCTCATTTAGATTATGCTGCACAGTTTTGGTCACCGTATTACAGAATGGATATAAATTCTCTGGAAAATGTACAAAGGAGGATGACAAAGATGATCCCATGTATCAGAAACCTTCCCTATGAGGATAGACTAAGGGCCCTGAAACTGCACTCTCTAGAAAGACGTAGAATTAGGGGGGATATGATTGAGGTGTATAAATGGAAGACAGGAATAAATAAAGGGGATGTAAATAGTGTGCTGAAAATATCTAACCTAGACAGGACTCGCAGCAATGGTTTTAAGTTGGAAAATTTCAGATTCAGGAAGGATATAGGAAAGTACTGGTTTGGTAATAGAGTTGTGGATGAGTGGAACAAACTCCCAAGTACCGTTATAGAGGCCAGAACGTTGTGTAGCTTTAAAAATAGGTTGGATAAATACATCAGTAGATGTGGGTGGGTGTGAGTTAGACCTGATAGCTTGTGCTAACAGGTCTGTTGCCGTGTTCCTCCCTTAAGTCAATGTGACCTGACCTGACTAGGTTGGGTGCATTGGCTTAAGCCGGTAGGAGACTTGGACCTGCCTCGCATGGGCCAGTAGGCCTTCTGCAGTGTTCCTTCGTTCTTATGTTCTTATGTTCTTATGAACATTTAAGGTAACCATCACTGAAGTGGAGATGACTTATTACAATGCTCTTTCACGACCCATATACGTGAATACCTGGTATAAACCTTGGTAATAAATACCGACAAAATGAACATCAAAATGGTATACAATACCGACAGGTTGTTAGGTAAGACACATATGCAACAGTTAGACAACTTAATAAAGTTGTCTAACTGTTGCATATGTGTCTTACCTAACAACACAATACCGACAAGTTGGTTTAGAAAGACACGTAAGCAAACACTATGACATATTTATTAGAAAACGTTTCGGTCCTGGGACCTTGATCACTTCTAACATACAGAGTTAGAAAGGCATTATATATATAGGCGGAGAGTGAGGTGTGACGCACGTGACCTGAGGAATGTCATAAGAACATAAGAATGGAGGAACACTGTAGAAGGCCTACTGGCTTATGCGAGGCAGGTCTTTATCAAAACAACCTCTACCTATGATTAGGACGGGTAGACGATGTCCTAATCATAGGCAGAGGTTGTTTTGATAAGGACCTGCCTCGCATGGGCCAGTAGGCCTTCTACAGTGTTCCTCCATTCTTATGTTCTTAAGACATTCCTCAGGTCACGTGCGTCACACCTCACTCTCCGCCTATATATATAATGCCTTTCTAACTCTGTATGTTAGAAGTGATCAAGGTCCCAGGACCGAAACGTTTTCTAATAAATATGTCATAGTGTTTGCTTACGTGTCTTTCTAAACCAACGTGAATACCTGACTAGAAATAATCAGACACTCGGTATCTCTCAAATCAGGAAAAGGGTGAGGTTTGAACTCATGGCGAGTGAGCCCTAAAACTCACAGGCCAGTGCGTTAACCACTGGCCTGTGTTATTACGATATCATGAGTCAGGATCTCTCAGCTGTGTTCCGACAGACATTACAAGGACGTAGACCAGAGGCCATCACTATCAGTTTCTATCTCCTCGACCGTCGTAAAAATACAGGGATGAAGGGGGAATATTTTCTCTGGCAAAATCCCCTTTGCTGACTACTCGACGTCACCTTCACAGATGTTTACACACTCAGGTCATATAAATATCTATTTGCACGTTTTGTGAGTTGTTTTTAGCAATTTGTGACAAAAAAATCAACTGGACAAGCACCTAAAGTCAGTTCCTGATCAGCCGGGCTGTGGCTCGTACGTTGGTTTGCGTGCAGCCAGCAGCAACAGCCTGGTTGATCAGGGGCTGATCCACCAGGAGGCCTGGTCACAGACCGGGCCGCGGGGGCGTTGACCCCCGAAACTCTCTCCAGGTAAACTCCAGAATAAAAGGCACAATACCGTGACTGGAACAATACATAAATAACCCCACATAGGAGAAAGGAACTTTATGACGACGTTTCGGTCCGACTTGGACCATTTTTTGTTTAAAAAAAAAATCATAAATTTTTAGTGAGTGCTTATTCCTCTATAAATTATATTGAACTTTTTTTGTATTTAATTAAAAAATTAAATTACTACTGTGGTTCGTACGTCGGGTTGCGTGTGGCCAACAGTAACAATCTGGTTGATCAGGCCCTGATCCACCATGAGGCCTGGTCACAGACCGGGCCGCGGGGGCGTTGACCCCCTAAACTCTCTCCAGGTATACAGATCCATACAGAAAAAAATATCTTGAAAATATTCTTTAAATAAATAAATCTAAATATAAATGATAATTGTGGATTATATTAACCTCTTTCTTGCTTTTTATTATAAGAACATATGACCATTAGAAGAAAGGAACATTGTAGTAGGCCTATTGGTCCATACTAGGCAGGTCCTCGTTACTCTAGTGATATTCCGGCCGTTTGCCTTGAGATGTGTTCTTGTATTATGGGTAACTAATTTATTTATTGCATGTGTGTCGTGTTCTCCATGACACACTGACGAGGGAAGATCCGTGACGAGGTATACAATGAACTACTCTCCAGCACTAGCTTACTAGCTCTACTTCAGCTATCTAGCTAGCTAACTCCTTTTTTCTACTCTTTCTTATAATACCCTTATAATGCCTACCTCACATGGTATATAAACTGACGTATACGTAGTATATGCGTGTATATATATACCTAGAAGTGTCTCGGCGTATATACACAATTTACTTTAGTAATTTTGAAGTGAATTGCTGCCCAGTTAGATAAGATAAGATTTCGTTCGGATTTTTAACCCCGGAGGGTTAGCCACCCAGGATAACCCAAGAAAGTCAGTGCGTCATCGAGGACTGTCTAACTTATTTCCATTGGGGTCCTTAATCTTGTCCCCCAGGATGCGACCCACACCAGTCGACTAACACCCAGGTACCTATTTGCTGCTAGGTGAACAGGACAACAGGTGTAAGGAAACGTGTCGAAATGTTTCCACCCGCCGGGAATCGAACCCGGGCCCTCCGTGTGTGAAGCGGGAGCTTTAGCCACCAGGCCACCCTAATAGGTTTAGCGCTTAGTTATGATTGTAATAATAATAATAATAATAATATTAATAATAATAATAATAATAATAGACTAGTTTAAACTAAGGCTAATGATCTTACATTGAAAGAAATTTTTAATTTTGTTAATTAAATATATGTGTTTTTGTTTCCTTCAGATACTAAAGACAATGTTGCGTCCTAGAGAAGATAATATTGCATCCTAGAGAAGACAATGTTGCGTCCTAGAGAAGACAATGTTGCGTCCTAGAGAAGACAATGTTGCGTCCTAACGAGCACTGACAATAGATCAGTTTATCCTGAAAGAGAAAGAGGGAGGACGCAAGGAAATGTGTCATCAAAGAAAACCAATGATGACGCGCCACCAGATATTCCTTGCATTTCTCTATTTCGTCATCGTTCTGATTGTCCTGCCATTTTTCTGCACTGAAAAGGTGTATTCCTTGTATTACCAAGCAGACGATGCAAAGAACAACCGTACTGATTTAATAAATAATGAGCATCGTAAGAAAGGGGTTCGTGAATACCTAAAACAAATTGATCCCAAAGATTCTCTGTCGTTCCATATATCAAAAGTGTCAGAACCTGTGGATAATCTCATTGTTGTGATGGCTAAGAGGCCTAATAAAGTAGAAGATCTAACATTAACGCAACTCGTAGCGGAAGTCGATAGAAATATTAGAAACCAAAAATTGTATCGCAATGCCATGTTGATCTGCAACACCACTAGGTTACCTTTCCATGAACTTAATCATTTAGCTCAGTTCTATCCGGTCAGAATGGCTGTAAATAACACAAAGTGGAAGCTGTTCAATAGCGAAGAAGTGAAAAAGCACGACTTTGTCGAGTGCCTGAAACAGGGACTGACCTATGTGAATTCCAGATATATAACTTTAATTAGAGACGTGGTAGTGCCTTACTCTGGGTTCCTGGGTGTTGTCAACCACGTAATAAACAAAAGAATCACAAGTTCCTTAGTACATGGAGAGTTGCTCAAGAATGACAGACCGTGGCTCTTCCTGCACCTACACGAACCTGTAACCTTCCGCCAGTACCATCTTTCTTGTGAGTGCGTGAGAGAGATCCTGCTGTTGACCTGCAGTGGAGCCTTGCTTTTCTATTTAGCATTTAGGTGGCTAGAGGGCCCCCTGCAGCGCTCGTATGTGAGGGTAACCTATGCCATGTACGGTGCTCTTTACTTCTTCACCTTCGCACTCGTTATTGGACGTCCATACGTCACTGAGCTTCGTCGGATGGCCGCAGAGTTATACCGTGTGTATGAACCACCCAAGCCAATACACTTCTCGGCCATGGTTTTACCCAGCAATATCTTGCCTGGCCTCCTCGCTCAGTTGAACCTAGTCAGTTGCTCTGTTTATTCTCCCTTCCATGAATTGCTGGATCATATGGTAAACACAATGGAGCTACCTGGATATGTTGTTTCTCCAAGCCTGGTCAGGTACGTCAGTAGAACATGACCTGAAATCTTTCCAAGTGATGCTAAAGTAATATATTTAAGCTGGTCTTGTGTTTCAGTTTAAAAAAAAAGTGATGGAATTGTGCTATTTGCTATGTTTCTCTTGTATTAAATACTTAAAATATTTTGGGATCATCTCACGGAAACTTTTTGTATTCCTGTCTCTCAAATATTTTTGTGCGTTTTTTGTAATGATATTTATAATTTTGCTTCATACCGTCCCAGTAACAAAAGCAATTTTTTTTGTTATGCTCAAAGAATTTGATTTATGTCATACGAGTGTGTATATGCTTAACAACTTGCAAATGGACGAAATTGTGTACAAGCATTATCTCAGTCCACAGCAGGATTCGAACCTGCTGCACACAGTATATCACAGTACACATTACTTTGGTTGTGTGGATAAAGTACTACGTATTGTGATGCAAATTATGCGGGTTCGAACCCTGCTGTGGACCGAGACATAATGAGTCTGTATACAAGACAATTTGTTACATTTGAATGAACCCGGTGTGATTATTTAATATCCTCTACAAAGACCATAAGGATCTTGACTCAAGAAGTGTGTTATGACATTATTTATTCCTCTATCTCAGAACTCAGATGTCAAAAGGATTGACAGAACGTTGCTATCCCCAGTTGATATTCTTACTGAAGAGCAGGAACATGCCAGCATTTGCTCCTTTGACGCTGTTTCCAGCAAACCAACTTAAAAAAAAAAATCTGCGTTTGTTACAGTAACATGTTACCCAACCCCCGAGTAGAGCCACTGCCTTATTATACCTAGAGTGTAACTAAAACATGCAGGTTATTATAATAATAACATCTACCAGTACATGGTACAAGTGTACTAGACCTACCTGACATCAGTTATGCAGAACATTTCGGGAAACTTGGGTTAGTTCTATACCCCAGGATGCGACCCACACCAGTCGTGATAAATGGTTTAGTGTCTCATTCTTAAGTCGTCTAGCTCCCAGGTACCTGCTTACTGCTGGGTGAACAGGGGCAGCAGATGTATAAAAGCATGCCCGATGTTTCACCCGTTTTCGACTCTGTATCTCAATGTTTTAGAGAACCTAAAGAAAATCGACACGTTTCGCTATATCGTTGTTCAACTCTTTTTTCCTAAACTTGAGCTTCCACTTTTGTTAGTACAAAATGTATATAATTTTTATGGGGAACAAATCTCAGCGTAAGAGAAGAGTTGCATATTTAAACAATTAGTTAAACACGGGTGCTGCTGTATAGTACAGCAACCTTGATAAATGAAACACTTGTGCAACGTTTCGGTATCTTTATTTTGGACACGTTTCGCCATGCAGTGGCTTCTTCAGTCAAATACAGAGAAAGACGGAATACAAGGTGGAGTTTGAGGTAATCAGTCCCTCAACCTGGAGTAGATGAGTTCAGTCTATCAGTCCTGATAAAGATTGACGTACTGAACAATCGACTCCAGGCTGAGGGACTGATTACCTCAAAGTCCTCATCTTCCACCTTTCTCTGTATTGGACTGAAGAAGCCGCTTTGTGGGGGAAACGTTTCCAGATTAAAAAAAATACCCGAACGTTGCACAACATTCTCATTTATCAACTTGTCGGTTGGATCCATGAAATTGGTGCTACCTTTCCCATCCTCGGATCAGAGCTTATTACCCCTTCCCCCAACACCCATTTCCCAGGTGCTTCCCCATGAACAACTCACACCAACACGGAGTTAGCACATTCTGTACACAATGTACACATTCTATTTTTCCGTGGTATGAAAACTGTAAATGGTCTTCATAATGTAAATATTCTGTATAGAAGAACGGATGGCGACTAACTGTCGTCCTGTTGGGTAACAGCTCCAGCTAAGTGCCACTGATCTACGATGCTTACAATAGGAAGGTTTAATTGACAGCAACTCTGTGATATGTCTGCGTCAGCGGCCACCTTACTCTCTTCATAGTATGGCCCTTACGGGTTGATCGCTTAGTTATGATTATAATAACTGTCTCTTCCTACAGACCCAGACTTTTATACCCAACAAAGTCATATTATAAAGAACAGAATGGCACAATACCGTGACTGGAGCAATACACAACCCGCACGTAGGAGAGAGAGGAGCTTAAGACTGTAAATGATCCAAGTCAGATCGAAACGTCGTAAGCTCCTCTCTCCAATGTGCGAGTTGTGTAAAAGCATATTATCTATACTCTCAAGATAATTCGTAATGAAAGAATGTCGAATAACAGAGGAGTGGACGAGGATTCTTACCGTGGGTTCTGACTCTTCTAACAGGTACGAGAAAAAACATGTACCATGGAAAGCTTCTGTGGCTGTAGGAAGAGACATTAAGGTCGCAGATGGTGGCTGCTGATACATACGTCACAGCAGTGATATCTGTGTGTTTTGTGGATGAGTGGTACAGCTCTTGAGCTGCTACCCGTCGGCCCCACGCTTTACGCTTCCGCCTCAGAGAGAATTTTCCTCCTATCTGATGCAAGTCTTGAAACATTGCATAATTGCTGACGACACAGAGTGCGAAAGACCTTGAGCTAAAGATATTTATCCCCATGTTTGCTACTGTATTTATGTGTGTGTGTGTGTGTGTGTGTGTGTATATATATATATATATATATATATATATATATATATATATATATATATAATATATATATATATATATATATATATATAATATAAAATATCAATGTACAATAATATACCAAATATTGTAACCAAATGAAGACTTGAAATATATTGTAATTTAGGGATAAAAGTTGAATTTAACATTTGATCTATATATTTATTTTTTATTGTTAACATGTTTGTTGAATGTTTAATTATATTTTTAACGTGTGACTTAAATACACTTAACTACTATATTATTTTGTTTTGCTTTCAAATGTTTAATTTTTAATACTGCTGTGCTCTTTGTACTCTCCTGTGTGTGGTTGTAAGGGTCGAGTGTCAGCTCCTGGCCCCGGGTCTCCGCTGGTCGCTGCTGGGTGCTGCACCAGCACTCTTCACCTCAGGAATTGTGCTCTACTCCAGTTCCTTGAATCAAGTCTGAATTAACATCCCAGTGACTTTTTTTTGGAGTTTCCAGCAGTGCCCTCTTGTACCTGATTCCCGCCTGATTCGAGTCAATTTAAGTCTTAACTTGTAATATAATTATCATTAAAGTAAATACAATCAATCCTTGCATTAATATTATTGGAAAGCGCTAAAATAGTGTGGGTTACACAAGAGAGGTTAAAAAACACATATCAGACGGATGTAATTTATTGATGTATAAAATTGACACATAGTTCTATTATTTTTTGAAAAGTTATTCAGGACAACCACTGTGGAAAAATAGTGAACTTCCAAGCGCTTTCGTGAATTTTCACATTATATATGTCGTGCTGAATAAGAAAAACTTGCGATTTTGGTTTAAATAGCAATGCTCGTCTTGCCGAAAAAAGCAAGCGAAAATTTATGTATCCAATAGTTAAGCAAAAATCATTCTGAGCCTAACGAAAAAAATATATTTCATTGTGTTTATTATTAAATTATTGTAAACTTATCTCCTTGTGGCTTAGCGCTTCTTTTTGATTATAATAAATAATAATGTTAACTTATCCAAAATATGTTTAGTTGGATTAAGCTAAATTAAATTGCACTTGTTATAATAAGTGAGTTAAGTTTTCTAAGGTTCTTTTGGCACAAAATTATTTATTTTTACATTAACATAAATGAAATATATATATATATATATATATATATATATATCTAAACATATAAGGAAAAGATTTAAAAATCTTTTAATTCTAAATGAATTCTTGCTAGTTGACCAGTTTTACCTATTCGGCACGACATGTATATATACAGTGGAACCCTGAGTTTCGGGTAAACCTAAAACGGCCGAAAGTCGAAGCAATATTTCCCATAAGAAATAATGTAAATACAATTAATCTGTTCCAAATCCACAAAAATATTCACAAAAAAATACATTAAAGAAAAACTATTGTTTAAGATATATATAGTACTTAAAACATACATACAGTATTAAATGAGTAATACAATACATAAACATTTAAAATCACATTTACATACCTTTATTGGAGACTCTTGCTAGCATCTGGTAGATGCCAACAAGAATCCACCATTGCCTCCACCACTGCTTCCACCACTGCCTCCACCACTGCCTCCACCACTGCCTCCACCACTACCTCAACTACTGCCTCCACCACTGCTTCCACCACTGCCTCCACCACTGCCTCCACCACTGCCTCCACCACTGCCTCCACCACTGCCTCAACCACTACCTCAACTACTGCCTCCACCACTGCTTCCACCACTGCCCTAGTCACTGCCTCCACCACCTCCTCCACCACTGCCTCCACTACTGCCTCAACCCCTGCCTCAACTACTGCCTCCACCACTGCCTCCACCACTGCCTCAACCACTACCTCAACTACTGCCTCCACCACTGCTTCCACCACTGCCCTAGTCACTGCCTCCACCACCTCCTCCACCACTGCCTCCACTACTGCCTCAACCCCTGCCTCAACTACTGCCTCCACCACTGCCTCCACCACTGCCTCAACCACTACCTCAACCACTGCCTCAGCTACTGCCTCAACCACTGCCTCAGCCACTGCCCTAGTCACTGCCTCCACCACCTCCTCCACCACTGCCTCCACTACTGCCTCAACCCCTGCCTCAACTACTGCCTCCACCACTGTCTCACTGCCACTATGAAGTTTCTTTGGGCCCATGGTGGTTTATTTCAGTCATAATCAATAAACAAGCACTCAACACAATGAATTTATTGTGAAATGTTTGGATGAGTGTGCAGAGTAATGTTCATTCGAGGATAAACAAAGCTAGACCAGCTCACAAAGCCTTTGCGGGGAGGCATGCAGGCGCAGGCAGGCAGACAGGTCTGGTACACTGGCTGAAACACGGGGCAACGGCCGAAACACAGGGCAACGGATGAAACTCGAGACAAAATTTAGCTGAAAAAAGCGGTCAAAACTCGAAGCAGCCGATACTCGGGGTTCCACTGTATATATAATATATATATATATATAAAATATATATATATATATATAATATATATATATATATATATATATATATATATATATATTAATATAATATATGAT